CATTGAGCATTGTGTATGCCATGTTACATCGTATTGTGCATGTTATGTTATTGTTTGCATTGCGCATGCCATGCTCTTGATTCGCATTGTGTATGCCATGATCATATTGCATTGAGTATGCTAGTTGACATTTGCATTGTGTATGCTAGTTGCATTGTATCATATTGTTGCATGCTTATGTTGTCTTGCATTGAGTATGCATGCGTTAACATTGTGCATGTCATTAGCCTTGTTAGGTTGTTCATGTTGCATTGCATGTTTGCATGCTCAAGTCATATTGCATATTTGTATGCTTGTGTTGCATTGTATTTTCGCATATTCCATGTTAAATAGCATTGTGCATGCCATGTTATGTGTTGCATTGTGTTTGGAATAGGTGTTAGTCCAAACACGGGAAACGAGGGACGTTTCATACTTAAGTAATGAGAACGCGCCTCATCTCGCGCCCTGACGCTTGCTTGTCATACATGATAGAGTTTTAGGCCTTATGTGTTTACTTGTGCATTCATTTTCATATTGAATTGTGCAATTTCGCCTCTCAGCCATTATGCATTGAGATGCGTGATTGGTGGCCCGAGGGTCGAGAACGACACTCCCTTGAGCTTATGAAATAATAGGGAGGGTGGTTGTGCACACATATCTTGTAAATACATCGCCATGCCCTTTCTTGCCCTCTGTTGCAGCAAATTAGAAGAATGCAGCAACAACTGGTCGGCCAGCCAGAAAAACTAGCTGGCCGACCACTTTTTCTGGTTTGTAGTAGCAAAAAGTGGTCGGCCAGTGGCTGGAGAGAGCAACAACTGGTCGGCCACCCTCCCACAGGTCCCAAGGCGAGTTAGAAGCTTTTTGGAGCTTGGTGCAAGGTTCTGAGAACAGCTGCAAATAGAGGCAAGTTAGAGCATTGCGACGGATTTCTGAACAAGGCGACTGGGCATGCATGCAATCTTCTACCTCTGAGGACTTTGTTTTACTGCTTTACTTAGCTAATGTGATTGGCTAGTTCATGCTTTGGCTTGTATTTAAGTAGTTAATGTGTTTAGCTGCTTAACTGTTTTGTAATAGTTAGTTAACTAGGATTAGTTAATTAGCTTCATTGTGATGTAATAATTAGTTTAATTAACTTAGATTAGCTAGTTAGCTCTTTATTCGGACCCTCCGTCGAGAGGGCCAATGGTTGTAATAAGCGTTCGTGTGTGTGATGCATGTTTTCCAACCCCCATTTCTTTCTCGCTTTTACTTAACCGCTTACGATGGTTAGTTTTAGAGCATATTTCGTTTAGCATACCTTATGCTCGCATGCGTGCATCATTTATCTGTTTTGTATGCACCGGGCTCGGCGCATCATACTAATTGCATTGTATTTCAATACATTTAGTTGAATACATGTTATCAAGTTGCATTTCACATGCCATCTTAGAATAGCCGAGCCTATTTTAGCTGTATTTCGCATGTGTTGCATTGGTCATCTCAACATGAACTAGGATCATGCATGATTTTTAACTAGTTCTCTGTTTTGGCTTGGAGTACACTGTGAGTGTTTACGCTTTAGCATACTACATGTGTGTTAATGTTGCCATGAAAGCATGCTTGCCATGAGGCTAACTGCTTATTTGATATAACTGCCTGAATGCTTATGGGTGAAGGTTGGATTACTTGAATTGGAAAAATTCATTGAAATCCCCAATTTAGCCTACTTGCGAGTAGCAACACTTCAAACCATTTTCAAACGAATATGCAATGTTTTGTTCCAAATTAAGCGGTCTAGTCTATACTTGTATGCTGTGTGCATCACGTAGTAAGATTAGCTAATTAACCGAAATAAGAGCACATGTGTTTTCAAAAACAAAATATCATGCTTAATACAGGCCGATCTTTGATCGGGCAAGCGGGGGTGCTAATTTCATGACCTTCCTGTCTCGTACCCAAGTTCCCGAGCCGAGGCAACTTTGGTGATGACGGACACGTGGCCTTAGGCACGAGTCAGGGTTTCCTAAATTTTCCCAAAATAAAATATTTAGGTGGCAACTCTGTATCTGGCAAAGCAGTCCATGTTTGGCACTTCTTTATAAAATCAATTTTCCGAAAAATAATTTGCCAAATTTGGACTCTTTGGTGATTTATCAAGTCTTGCATTGCACTTTGCGAGATTAGATTCAGAACCGTGACATTGAGTCCGAACTGTAGTAGCTCAGAACAAAATGAGATTCGCGCCCATCTCGCGCGTGCGGATATCAGAGAGTTCCCGGGAGCGCGTCTACACCTGAGCCCGCGCATTTGAATCGAGCTAGCCCTTCGGAGTGGGCTCCAAAAATAACTTTTAAGAACCGCGCTATCTCGGACGCCGACTTAGTGGTTACAGAAAAAGACCACTCGCTTGACTTTAACCTCGCCAAGAGCGTGTGCTTGCCAGCCGACATAGAGCATCACGTTCATCTGACCGAGCTGAAGGCCATCCGCTCGGCAACAAAGTCGATGGTGCTGGTAAGTTCTCCATTTTCTTGTTTTTCCAATTCACACATCTGTTTGCATGGTTTTTTATCATGATCGCTATCTTTTCTTATGCAGGCCATGTAGAAGAATCACGTTGCCCACAAGTGTGTACTAGAGCTGCGTAAGACAACACGACTGGCCGTGGCGGAGGCCAATGCTAAGACGATCGAGCTAGAAGAAGCTAAGCAAAAAACGACCGAGTTTCAAACTGAAATTGCCAGACTTACTGGGTTGGTCAACTTGGCGGTAGCAGACAGTAGAAGGCTTTGGCCGGTTAAAAGACCATTATCTGCGTGAGCTGGCCAAGCTCGAGAAGAAGAAGGATGCAGAGATCACCGAGCTAAATAAGAAAATTGAGGATGCTGAAGACAGGGGCTACAAGGAGGGGGAGGCCACCTATGTCCTGTAATGTGAAGCTTCTAAGGACATTTTTCAAATGTGGATGGAAGGCGGCTGCCACAAAGCTCGGTTATGGTCAAGAAACCGAGGTCTTCCAGAACCCTTCTCCCCACTTCATTCCAAGTTATATGGAAGACTACACCATTGCTATCCAAGAAAAGTTGCTCCAAGTAGGGGAGGAGGAAGCGGCATCCCCAGAACCAAACAACGCCCCAGCTGCTACTAATGATTACGATCTCCAAACTGTTCAGTCAGCTCGGGTGGATCCACCGGTGCCCATTACGGTTGAAGATGTGGCTGGGACAGACCTTCTTGTTGGAACCGAGTTACCGAGTAGTGAAGCTCGGGTTAACCTGGATGCAGATCTGGACGATCTATTTGCCTGATCTTGTATTTTCTTCATTTAACGTATGATTTTTTGAAAGAATTTGTAACCGGGCTAAAGCCCTACCTTTTGTAACACCATTTTGAATGAAATCCTCAGTTTTGTCTATCTTTTTGTTCGGTTTGTATCCTTCTTGTAATTGTCTTTTCAATGTTTTGCTCGGTTGCCATTCTTTCATTTTTATGGTCGTGATAGTAATCTCGGTTCAAGGGCTTTGTAATCTGTGCACTGGGTGTTGGTCCTACCTGTCAATTTTCTCCGGCCGAGGTCTTTTATCTTGGCTGAAGAGAGATAAATGTTAGTTATTCCTGCCAACCTTCTTCAGCCTAGATCCCTATCTCGGCTGAAGAGAGCTAAGTGTTGGTTATTCCTACCAACCTCTTCAGCCTAGATCCTGATCTCGGCTGAAGAGAGCTAAGTGTTGGTTATTCCTACCAACCTCTTCAACCTAGATCCTGATCTCGGCTGAAGAGAGATAACTGTTGGTTATTCCTGCCAACCTCTTCAGCCTAGATCCTGATCTCGGCTGAAGAGCGATAACTGTTGGTTATTCTTGCCAACCTCTTGACCCTAGATCCTGATCTCGGCTGAAGAGAGATAACTGTTGGTTATTTCGGCCAACCTTTTCAGCCTAGACCGTAATCTCGGCTGAAGAGAGATAACTACTGGTTATTCATGCCAATCTCTTCAGCCTAGATCCTGATCTCGGCTGAAGAGAGATAACTGTTGGTTATTCCAGCCAACCTTTTCAGCCTAGATCCTGATCTCGACTGAAGAGAGATAACTGCTGGTTATTCCGGCCAACCTCTTCAGCTTAGATCCTGATCTTGGCTGAAGAGAGATAACTGTTGGTTATTCCTGCCAACCTCTTCAGCTTAGATCCTAATCTCGACTGAAGAGAAATAACTGTTGGTTATTCCGGCCAACCTTCTTCAGCCTAGATCCTGATCTCGGCTAAAGAGAACTAAATGTTTGGTTATTCCTGTCAAACTTCCTAATTGTCCCTTGCTGGCAATGTCTGAGAACAATTTTTACAGTAGAAAGAATTGTGCTAAAAACTACTTCTTTTATTTAAAAGAGGGAAAATTACAAGTATTTAAAAATTAAAAATAAAATAATTTGAGATTGGCAGTGTTCGATGGCCTGGGAATAGCCTTGCCGTCTCCATCTTCCAAGTGATATGCTCATTTTCCTGCTAAACCAACCACTTTGTATGGTCCTTCCCAATTAGGTCCTAACTTGCCGTCTCCAGGTACCAAAGTGTTGCCCATTACACTACTAAAAAAAATACTTTTTGCGACCGCTACAAACCGTCGCAAATAATAAAAAAAACAGTCGCAAAAAACCTTTTGCGACTGCCCATGCGACGGCAAATAGGGGTCGCGAATGTGGGGGTGGCAAATACTTTTTGCGACCGCAAAAAAACAGTCGCAAACTATTTGCGACCGCCTAATCTACTTATCGCGACTAATGTTTTGCCGTCGCAAAAAAATTAAAAAAATACCTACAATGTATTAGCGACCATCTTGTTACCGTCGCAAAAAAAAATATAAATAAATAAAATACCTACAATGTTTTAGCAACCTATATTCTCATATATATATATATATATATTCAAGTATTATATACAATAAATAGAAAGTGATATTTGCAAAAATTCTAATACACATGTATTATTTTCCATCACTTCGCTCAACAAAATTATCTTTCTTTAAAAAAAAAAAAAATGTGCATACAAAATATAAACTTCTATACACACAAAACAAATATCCATCAACCATCCTTAAAAGTATTTATACAAAATACTAAATGAAATATGTTAAGCTGTGATTCAAGTTCACATTATTACATCATTTTAATCATGGATGAAAAAAATAAAATAAAAAAATCAGACTTGTATTGTTAAAGCACGAAAATGACAAACATTTCTATGGCCTAAAGTAATTGATGCACGTGGATTGTACATTTTCTACGACTTTAGTTCACTTATCAAAGAGTTTGGTGGATTACCATCATTGGAGATCTCCTTGGTGGTGTTGATATGATTCTGAGTGGGCAGGTCACCCACATTGTGCAAGTTTTGCTGAAGTACTGAAAATGGAGGTCTTAGCTGCTGACTTCTTGTTGTTGCACATTCCTCAAGGAACCTTTCTCCACGCGGGCAGTTTTCTGTGAGATCAGAGATATGGGTCCTTCTAAATCATGACAACTAAGAGTTATTTTTGTAACATTTCAACTTATTGGCATTCACTTGGAAATGAAGGCTAGCTACATCAATTGTACCTCAACTTCTTCAGAGGTGTAGCATTTTCTGATATTCCAGCTGTACTCGACCCATTTGGAAAGATGACCCTTTTGTTGTTTGGATTGATGTATGAAGTATTGTTATCTTTTGCTAAGGCTTCATGTTTTGCTCTTTTCTTACACAGGGTGGAGAATCTATTCTTCATAGCATTATCAGTTCTGTGTAAGCATGGCAACAAAGAAATTAAACTATAATTACCATAAACTTTTCCACTTGCAACAGAAAACAAGTATTTAAAATTTTATATACCTCCCTGAAACCACCTTTGCTATCTAATCCAAAATATAATATGGTATTTTCTGTTGAACTTTTGGGAGACAACAAAACAATTCTTTATGAGTCTGGCCAAAGTATAGATTTACTCTGTTTTCCTTTAAACTCAGAACTTACTGATACTGTCAAAGCAAGCTAATCAACTAACAAATGGTTGATCAAAGAATACATAGCTAAAAACAAAATCCCAATAATTGCATTTGAAAGGTAGACTACCTTGTATTGATATGCAACTTTGATTTCAAAAATGTACCTCACATAAGAGCAAGTCTTCCTCTGGAAACCATCCCCCCTTCTTGAAATCAGAATTCAAATAAGTGTACCATCTGCAATAGTGTCATTACATCCAATCAGAATGAACTAAAAAACAAATTTTGGTGTCTAAGATATAAAAGCAAATTTTCAGCTCTTAAGTAGGATTTATTACAAATGCATGTTTTTGGAACTGGCACTTTTTTACTACAGAAGTCAATCCCCTTGTTACCTTCCTGTCTCAACTTTTAATTGTTGAACTTTCTTGGCCTGATTCTTTGTCATATTGTTGAAGTTTTGAAATCAATTTCTAGATCATCCTCACAAATTTGATATGAATATTTAGAGTAAGGTCTAAACGCTTTTTGAGTGTTTTCACTACAAACTAACCATATATTCTTAAATAGAAAAAATAAAAATAAAAAAAGCAAATAACATACCTTCTCGGCATTAATCTCAAATTGAATTTGAACATCATCAAGCAAGGCAGGCCAAGACTCAAATTCCAACTTTTGCCATAAGGATACCAGGATAAAAATCGGATCCAGTTCAGCTGAGTCATAAAAAGGAGAGAGTGAAGAGAGAAGAAAATTGATAGCACAACCACAAAAGAACTCATGCTTACCAAATTTAAATGCTTACTAGAGAGGGGGAATTTTGAAACAGTTTCCTGTAGCACCCGCACCCTATTAAGTAGGAACTGCAAACCTGAAAGAGCCTTCAAAGAAGGAAGCAGCAAAGAGAACCCAAATTTAAGCAGACAGATGTTAATGCACCTTTAATGCGCACAAGCTATCTTTTTTTAAAAGAACAGCAGGGGGTAGGGAGCCTGAGCCAATTGGTAATGCCTAACGTTTTAAGCACATGGTATAACAGCAACATTGCTCATTGTGCATTACAAGACTAAAGAAATGGAAACAACTAACATTACCTATTTTCATCAGATGGTATCTTATGTGGATTTCCCAATTTATCAGTATTTGCTTTTTCACAATTGTTTTTGCTATTATATTTTGCACTTTAGATTAACTTGTGGTCTAAAACCACTTCCATTAAGCAAATTGGTCCTAATAACCATGCAAACTTAGTCAAATATACTACCTCAGCCAGCGGTGTTCTTAAAGGAATAGCTAAAATCATTTCTATCACATCCACGATTTTTTGAAGAGCTGGATGATCATCGCATTCATTCAAAAGAAATACAATTCTCTGTTGAAGAAGAGAATTGTAACTAGCTCCACCATCTTAACCATCATAGGAGCATTTGAATCCTAGACAATTAAAAAAGGAGAAAAAAGGTTAAGGACCAAACGAGTTTAAAAAGTAAATTGTAAAATACATAGAAATAAAGCTTGGAAAACCTTGTAAAAAATATATGCATGAGCTGATTTATGAGACGAATTTAATTTCTGTTCATGCTCCAAACAAAGGCGGAACAAGTGTTTAAGAGCAAGTTTAGCATCCAAACTGGACAATAGTAATCCCTCTAAACCTGGACAAAAAGACATCATATGAAATATGTTCTCGTATGAACAAATTACCGCATATTACTTAGATGAAAGTTTTAAAATTAATCACCATTAATCATTCTTATTCCTAGTCTGTAGGAGTCAAGGATGACAACCGATCTGTTTCAGAGACCTTTAGAATTCTAGGCTGCTTTGGGAACCAGAAATTAGAATAAAAATAGTTCATGGAATAAACCTCAGTTTGAATATAGAACACACAAGCACATACAAAGAAATAAAATAACTGAATGTGGCATAAGTTTTAGAAGGCTACAATGATGGAAGCAACAAAACTAAGATCTGAATATATATAGCTAGCATAGAAATAACAAACAAAAGGTAAGTGGCAGATATATTTGATTTGACGTTTATATCAAATTAGAATTAATATCCTCTGTTAAGAAAATGATTAACTCAGTGCAAGAAACATGTTCACCGTATTAGATTCTCAACACAAAAATTAAAAGACACTACTAGCTTATACTGAGAGCAAGGTAATTGAGTTGTGAAGGTGGAAGGACATTAGGGGAAATAGGGGCAATTGCCCCTGCAGAGATTGAAAGAAAGAAAAACATGTAGCCACTTATGCTGTCATTCAACAATAGCTTGCAGAAAATTTAGCCCCACTCACCTTTGAATTTTGCCCCATTTTGATGAGTTATATGAATTTAGATGTATCGTAAGGTTTGAGTTTTTGGTATAAATTTGTTTAAAAATCTTGTGAGTCATGTAAACTTTTTATATAATTTTAGAGCTCTAAAAGCCTCTACCATAGACAGTAATAGATAGTATTATATATCATAAATTTTAATACAATGTGCAAAATTTAGAAATAGAATATATTATATGAGTTTATTCAAATTGTAGATGAAAGTTTCACCTGAGGAAGATCCATGATCTTTGGGGCAGGGAATGGGGTCACGACCCTGGGTTTCTGAGGGTTCTGTAATATAAAATGTAGTATCATTTATTGAATTGATTTTGCAATCCACAATATGTCCTTGAACAAGGATTTATTTGGATTATGTATTAATGATTTGGTTCTGTGTAAACTCAACTTCTATTTATTAAGCAATCCACAATATGTATTAAGGATTTATTTGAAAATTGCCAAAAAAGAAGAAAAAAGAAAATCAGAAATGCATTACAAACTTAAGATTTCAAGCTGAACTCAACTTCGAGGAGCAAAAACAGTTAGAAGAAACATATATCGAATAAGTCCTACCAAATGCTGGTTCAAATCAAAAAAAAAAAAATTACTCTTTGAAATCGACGAATTTCAAATTCTAGGGCTGAAAATCAAATTCATCGCCTTGAATAGTAGATCATTTTCCATCATTTCCAAAATAATAACAATCTCAGCATAGTCGGCAAAATTGAATCAAAAAATGCATGCATGCTATGAAGTTACTGATATTGCTTGATTTCCAGTTCAATATTCAACTCGAAGGAACAACAAATCAATCAAAAATCAAACTCGTAATCTTTTTTTTGGAAGATAAAATTGAAATGAAAAAAAAGGAACCTGAGTGAGTTGGGAGACGAAAGAGTCGTGATTGTGAACATCAGAAGCGAAGGAGCAATGATCGATGCTACTAGAAGCGGAAAACAAGAGGCTGAAGTTGGATGCGACGGTGAAGATGACGAAATCGAATGATCTCTACTGGTTCTGATCATCAAACCTTAGTAGCTCCGGCATTGTTGTCTGCTGCTTCTCATCACAATCTTAGAGAGAGAGAGAGAGAGAGAGAGAGAGAGAGAGAGAGAGATGTGTTTGTGAATCGTCGGGAAAGTGAAAGTGAAAAGGGGGTTAGGGCATAGGTATAATAAGAAAGGGACAAAATAAATAAAAGAAAGACTCAGATAAAATAAATAAAAGAAAGACTCAGATGTTGTTGTAAATATTATTTTTTGCGACCGTTAAATAGTCAGTCGCAAAAAATTAGTCGCAACAAGTCACTTTTCTAGTAGTGTTACTTTGCGTAATACCTAATCCCCAATCTTGAATTGCCTTGGATGTACTGTCTTGTTATATTTTCTGGACAACTCCTGCTGGTATGAGACAATGTGAACTAGAGCTTCTTCCCTTCTCTCTTCTACAAGGTCAAGGCTATGGCTTCTCCATTCAAGTCTGGGTCAAAATTTTTACTTCTAATAGTAGGGAGGCTGATTTCCAGTGGGATTATTGCCTCCATGCCATAGGCCAAAGAAAAAGGCGTTTCACTAGTTGACCGCTGAGGTGTGGTATGGTAAGCCCATAAAACATGAGGAAGCTCTTCAGCCTATTTGCCTTTGGCTTTCTCCAACCTCTTTTTCAAACCATCTAAGACGACTTTGTTTGATGCTTCTACCTAGCCATTCGCTTGAGGATATGATGGTGTGGAGTTGTAGAATTCTATCTTGTATTCCTCGCAAAATCCCCTGAAGATTTTGCCATCAAACTGAGTGTCGTTGTCAGATATTAGGGCCTTGGGTATGCCGAATCGAGTTATGATGTTCTGCCAGACGAACTTCTTTACATCTTTCTCCTTTATTGATGCAAGTGCTTCAGCCTCCACCCGCTTTGTGAAGTAGTATGTTGTTGCGAGGAAGAACTTTCTGTTGTCGGGTGCCGTTGGAAGTGGTCCCACTATGTCCAGGCCCCACATTGCGAAGGGCCATGGGCTAGTTAATGGTAGAAGCTCTCTGGCCGGTTGATGAATTTGGTGTGCGAACTTCTGACATTTTTCACACTTCTTGACATATTTCTCAGAGTCTACTTGCATAAATGGCCACCAGTATCCTGTGAAATTGCTCTGTAGGCCAATGACCTTCTCTCTTAGTGGCTTCTGCATACTCCTTCATGTGTCTCGTACAAAAATGCCTCGATCTTGCGGGGATGGACACATTTCAGCTAAGGTCATGTGAAGGATTTTTTGTACAGTGCCAATGATAGAGAGAGCCAAAATCGCTGTGATTTTGCTCTGATTTTGTTGGCCTCTTTCTTTTCTTTAGGTAAGATGCCATCTTTTAAGAATACTATAATGAGATCCATCCATGATGGGCCTAGTTCGGCACAACATACCTCGGCTACTTCAGGTTCTTCAATGCTTGGTCTGGGTAGGAAGTCGATCAGTAATGGATGTGGGATAGATGTATCTACCATTGAGGCAAAACCTGCTAGTTCGTCTGCTCTATTGCTTTCTTCTCGGTCGATTTGCTCTATCCACACCACTTCGAACTTCATGATCTCCTTTTTGACTAACTCTTGGTATTTAGCCATCATCTCATCTTTCGCCTCGTAGTCGCCTAAAATCTGGTTTACTACCAGTAAGGAGTCACTGTACACCATTAGCTCGGTGGCCTTCATGAAGAGTGCTGATCTCAGGCCTGCTAAAAGCGCTTCATACTCCGCCTCATTGTTTGATGCTGGGAAACCAAGATTGACTGCTTGTTCCACTATTAGGCCATTTGGCAAGATGAAGACCATGCCAAGTTCTGCGCCGTGCTTATTGGATGCTCTATCTACGAAGAGCTTCCACATCTCTCCGACGAATAGTTTCCAGCAAGTAGAGGGGTCGGATGACGTCTTGGGGTCCTGTGTGTTGTTGATGTTTTCTTCCAAGTCCATGCCTACTGTTGGGGTTTGCTCTTCACTATCTGACTGCCCCAAGTTTTTACTTGTTGATGAGTCCTCGCTGGGGATAACGTGGTTTGCTCCTTCATTCTTGTCTTCAATCCTGTATGGCTTGGAATGTAGCTGGGTATCTTGTTTTGGGGGCTGCGTAGTTGCTGCGG